TGTCAAAACGTACTCAAAAGCCAAAAGGAGTGGCGAGGTTGGTGACATCTACTGTCTTGTTCTTCTGCATGCCACATCCAGGCAGCATGCCCATCAGCATGGATTCCTGGGCAGGAAGGGGTGCTGGGAGCTTTATCCAGTCCCTTCTCTGCCTTGAGAACCACCGTAAACCATCCCGTTCATCCATCAATCCATTCAGCACCTTCCTGGTGCCCGCTATGTGCCAGGCTCTGTGCTAGGGGGTCCACGGGTTGTAAGAGATGCTTAACTACTGTGCTCTGTAGGGGGAGAGGCAGACATGTAAGCAGAGAGCAGAGTATTGAGATGTGTGCTGCAGCAACACAGCTGTGTGGAAGGCACAGTGGGAGCACGGGGCAAGCTGCACAAGGAGCTGGCATTGTAGTTGTGTCTTGAACACAAATTGAGAGGACTTCATGAGGCATCAAGGACAAGACTCTCCAGGAAGAGGAAGCCGTGTGTAAAGACATGAGACATGGCTTATTCTGGGATCCATACTTAGTGTGGCATGGCTGGAGCAGAGGATGCTTAAAGGGAAGTGGCAGGAGAGGCATTCAGGAAGTGGTGAGATCTGGCCTGAAGTGGGTCTTGTGAGGCCAGACAAGGAGTTAGAAAAGTGTTACCTGTGCAGCCAGGGGCCACTGAAGGGCTTCAAGCATGTGAAGATGTGATTGAGTTTGTGAATTAGGTTAATAGCTCTGAGCGTGCTGTGGGAGAGAAATCAGGGGAGGGAAGAAATCAAATTCTTCCGATACTTGCGCTGAGGGCCCGATGGGGTGGGATCCACACTCGCTGCTGTAGCATGGTCCTGTGCTGAGGGTCCCCTGGGCTGTGCCAGTTATTGAGTATTTTGACTGTCATGCTGGCTAAAGGAGGAAAAATGAAGGGAGAGCTTGAGAGGTAATTTGGAAGTACCACCACCAGGATGTGGTGATGGGGATGCAGCGGATGAGAGAGGAGAAGAGGTAGGGAATGGCTCCCAGGTTTCCAACTCAGCCATTGGGTGGTGCCATTCACCAAGTCTGGAGATAGACTTCCCTTGAAATTAGCAGGGAAAGGTACTTTGCCTTCCTGCAAAGGGAAGATTACACGGAGGAGTGTGAGTTAGGAGATGGTTGGCAGGTGAGAGTGCTACCCAGCCCTCCTGCAGAAAGACTCCTAGGAGAGACAGGTGCCTCCTAGGACTCGTGAGCATGCCCCATGGACACCTCATGGTCTCTCATCCACGCCTTCTGCACCACCCCATGCACACCCCACTCCATGTCCATGCCTTTCACCGGGATACGTGGTGTGCCTGCTGGGCGCAGGCCCTAAGCCTGCACTCTGGCCACCTGTCACACAGAGAACAGAGTGAGGCCAATGAGAGGCCAGCAGGGCACACTCACAACCTTCTCAGGCTGCAGGAGCAACCCAAGTCCTTCACCATCTCAGATCCCAAAGAGCATTAATGGGGAAGGCAACGTGGTGTTAGGAAAATAGCCCTGGGCTTGGGGTCAGAAGACCTGGGTGGGAAACCCTACTTGGCCACTCGCCAGCCTAGGGCCAGCAGAACCTAGGGCCAGTCACTTAACCTCTCTGAAACCTTCATTGTTTCCTCTGCAAAATGGAAATAATAATCTCAGAGCAAATTCAGTGTGGTCACGTGGATGACAGAGGGATGAACAAACTGAGTTCTTTACACCCTCAGAAGTGCAAGGCACAAGGTGATAAGCTACCAACCAAACGTGACAGATCTTCTGGAGCAATAATTTTACCAAAAACATTCTTAGGGGAGGCCTTAAGCAACTTAATTGCTAAGTAATTTAAAACATTTATTGTTGGACAGAGTGTAGTCACTCACACCTGTAATCCATCCTAGCACTTTAGGAGGCTGAAGAGGGCCAATAGCTTGAGCCCAGGAGTTTGAGACTAGCCTAGGCAACATGATGATATCCTGCCTTTACAAAAAGAAAATACAAAAATTAGCCTGGTGTGCGGCATGTGCCTGTAGTCCCAGCTACTCAGGAGACTGAGCTTGAGCAGGGAAGGTCAAGGCTGCAGTGAGCTATGGTCATGCCACTGCACTCCAGCCTGGGTGACAGAGTGAGACTGTCTCAAAAAACACATTTATTCTTATCTAACACAAACCTGGACAGAATAGGGCAAATATTTCATGGGTTTCTAACACTGCGCTTGCAGGTAGGCACTTCAGGGTATGTCCCCCACCTTCTAGAGTCCATATCCACTTCCTTCCGTTATTTGGAGTACCATGGTGGAAATATGTGGTTCTGTAGAATTCCAGGGGGAGAGAACTGAGAGCTCAGCCTCCCGTACAATGGGGTTTTTAGCAAGCTGCCGTTGCTTTAGCTGCACCGACATGCACATGCAAAAACATTCCCACCATCCCACCTGTTTCCCAGTGCCTAGCCTGCCCTGGTGGTGTTTCCTGATCATGGAGCAGATACAGCCAGCTCTCCAGGAGCCAGGTGTGAAAACTGCCAATGGGCCCTCACTAATTTCTTTGGACTTTTTCTCTAATTTCCTTCTAGAGTGCTTTTCAGTCTCCGCTGCACGTTATAATCACCCAGAGTGCTTTAAAACATATTAATCATGTGTCCCACCCTCAAAGACTCTCATTTATTTGGTCTGGAGGGTCCGCTGGGAATTAGGACTTCTAAAAGCTCCCCCAGGTGCTTCTAATGGGCAGCTAAGGCTGAGGAAGGGGAAGGGCGTTACGCAATTTTGGATGCCCCAAAGGACCAGGATTGGACCAGGGAGGACCTTCCAAACGTGCTACCTCATTGCATTGCCCCAGTAACGCCAGAGGTGGGACTTCTTATACCAATTTCTGCAGGTCAGGGACCTGAGACTCAGAGAGGTCTAAGAACTGGCCAAAGCCCCCCGCTTCAAAGGGATTCCGACCAGTTTGGTCTGTGGCCCACCTAAGTCCTCCAGACTTCCCCTGCACCACGCTGCCTTCCAGAAGAGGGCGCATACAGACACATCACTCTGCAGGAGTTCTGCAAGACAAACAGATGGACTGCCAGACAAGATGCTGCTTGGAGGCCTGCCTGCCAGGGCACTTGAGCTGCTCAAAATGTGGCAAAGCGGGTTTTCAATCTCCTTTAATTAGCATAATGGCGGTCAGGCAGGAAGGAATCACATCGTGCTATTAGGCAAAGCAACCCAACATCCAGTAAGCATCCACTAAATAGGAAACAGTCCCTCTGGCTCCCCAGCGTTGCCTCCCAGATCCTTCTCCTCCAGCCCAGGGCCCCGGGGGGCATGGTCTGCCGTTTTCCCTGGCATCCTTCGCTTCCCTCCCGCAGGTGATGCAGCACGCATGGGTGGAAGGGAACTCCTCCGTCAAGTGTGACCGGTGCCACAAAAGTATCAAGTGCTACCAGAGTGTCACCGCGCGGCACTGCGTGTGGTGCCGAATGACGGTGGGTTGGCGCCCAGGGTGGCCCTGCTTCTTTTCGGTGGTTTTTTTTTTTTTTTTTTTTTTTGCCCAAGCTGCAGCCCAGGAGCAGTGGACATCCCGCCAGAGGGAATGAGTGGAGCCAGAGGAGCAAGGCTAGGAGTGCCCCACAGCCCCCATTCAATGCCCTTGGCCAAATGGTGCTCCAGTGAATCACCAAGCTGCCCAGAGAGAGGGAACCCCTGAACCAGGGGAGCGAGGACTGCTGAAGAAGAAGCTGGCCAGTCCACTGTTTGTGGCCTGGCAGCTGGGATCAGCAGGCCTGACCGTGAACTTCTTTCACCTGGGTGTCACCTGGGACCGGGGACACTGACAGAGTGGGAGAAGAATTAGACAACAGGAGCATCAGGAGAGGGGGTGACTGCCCTAAAGGCACATTCCTCAGAGCAGCCTCATTGCCTGGGCCAAAGGCTTGGGCCTGCTGCCACGAACCACAGCACATGCTAGAGTCCACAGCCCCACTGGACACCCAGGTACCACTGGCAGCCTCTGCACTGACCAACCTGCCTGCCAAAACCCAGTGCCAGCACTTGTCCTTTCCCCAGGTATCAGCCTCAAAATGTAGATTTCTCCAAACGAGACTGTAGAACTCTTGGAATGCAAAGGTTGAATCAATCACAAGGTTTACTGTCAGCCACCCATGAGTTTGTTCATCAAGATCTCCCTCCCACCACAGTCTCAGAGCCTGGAGAGCACATATCCAAGGGGTCTCTGGAATCAACACAGGGCGCCACATTGAAGGGTCACAGGCCAGCTCATGACAGTGTCACTTCGGTAGCCATGAGCAGCTCTTGGCCTCCTTCTTTGCCCATGGCAGACTTTGCACCCTTAACCACACACACACACACACACACACACACACACACACACACACAGCAATACTGTCAAAGCCAGTAGTGCATCAGGATTTGGGGGAGCACTAGACAGCTCGCCTCTCCCGCAAACCTCTCCACCCTCATGTTTGATGTTTCTTCGCTCACTTTCGCTCACTTTCCTTTTCATTTCTCCACCCAGTTTCACCGCAAGTGTGAATTATCAACGTTGTGTGATGGTGGGGAACTCAGAGATCACATCTTGCTGCCCACCTCCATATGCCCCGTCACCCGGGTAAGTGCTCCTGCCCCGGCGAGGGCTCTAGCTTCTCTGGACTCTCGTTTCAGATGGAGGCAGCTTTCAGACATTCACATCCCTCACAGGGCTTCCCTGATAACTCTTGGGGGTTGTGTTTTCTTTCTTTTTTTAACTTTTATTTTAGGTTAGGGGGTACATGGGAGGGTTTGTTGCATAGGCAAACGTGTCACGGAGGTTTGTTGTACAGATTATTTTATCACCTGGGTTTTAAGCCCAGTGCCCAGTCGTTAATCTTCTCTGCTCCTCTCTATTGGGTTTGTGTTTTCGGTATGTGCCTGAAAGAGGTCAGAACTGCACAGATGAGATTTTGAGAGAACACTTCTCTGACTATACTGTTTCCAATCGCGGGCCACCCCGAATGCTCTGAAATGACCCATCAAGGAAAGTACATTTGTTCTAAGCCTCTTGCAGGCAGTGCACAGCACAAGGATCCTCAGTTATCATCTATGCAGTCAGGTTGACAGGTTGGGAGTCTGTCAACCTCCCTGCCACATCCAATCCCTATCTCCCTCCACCTCCTGAGTTTCCACTTGGGTGTCTCAGCCCTATTTGGAAATGAAAGCAGCAAAATTAAGCTCCTTTATCGCCCCCGACTCGGCCACCTGTGTTGGAGACTCCTCTTTCAAACAAGCACCAAACACTTAACTTTGCCCTCTTTCCATCTTTTATTTATTTATTTATTTATTTATTTATTTATTTATTTATTTATTTTGTGAGACGGAGTTTTGCTCTTGTTACCCAGGCTGGAGTGCAATGGCGTGATCTCGGCTCACCGCAACCTCCACCTCCTGGGTTCAGGCAATTCTCCTGCCTCAGCCTCCTGAGCAGCTTGGATACAGGCACGCACCACCGTGCCCAGCTAATTTTTTGTATTTTTAGTAGAGATGGGGTTTCACCATGTTGACCAGAATGGTCTCGATCTCTTGACCTCGTGATCCACCCACCTCGGCCTCTCAAAGTGCTGGGATTACAGGCTTGAGCCACCGCGCCCGGCCCCTCTTTCCATCTTAAAAATGCTACAAGGGCGACTGATTCCTCACATCTCACTCTTGATTTGACCAGCTACTTCTTTCTCATTAAAAACCTGAGAAAAGGCCGTGCATGGTGGGTCACACCTGTAATCCCAGCACTTTGGGAGGCTGAGGCGGGCAGATCACCTGCAGTCAGGAGTTTCAGACCAGCCTGGCCGACATGATGAAACCCCATCTCTACTAAAAGTACAAAAATTAGCCAGGTGTGATGATGGCTGCCTGTAATCCCAGCTACTGGGGAGGCTGAGGCAGGATTATTGCCTGAACCTGGGAGGTAGAGGTGGCAGTGAGCTGAAATGACACTACTGCACTCCATCCTAGGTGACAGAGCAAGATTCTGCCTCAAAAAAAAAGAAAAACCAACACGTTGGGAAACCATTTGGCAATATTTACTGTATTGGAAATACACAGACTCCATAACCCAGCAATTCTCCTCCAATGCATCTACCTGGAAAGAACAAGCATCTATTCCACAAAAAGACATGCACAAGAATGCCCATAGCAGCTTCATTCATAACAGTTAAAAACTGGAAACAAGTTAACTGACAGTTAACAGGAGAGCAGATGAATAAACTGAGGCCCATCGGCATCTGGCATTCACAGAATTGGAAACTACACTGTGATGGAAAAGAGGAAACTCTGCATAGAGTAAAAACGTGGAGAGTCTCAAAAATATAATGCTGAGCCAAGGAAGCTAGACTCATAAAAAGATATGCTCTATGATTCCATGTGCATGAGTTCAAAAGCCAGGCGAAACCCATGTAAAGACGTAGTAGCTGCCAGGGCATACCTCTATACAAAATTCATCAAGCTGTACATTTAGATGTGAGCATTTTGCTATATGTGAGAAAGCCTCAGTAAAATAAACATTAGAAAAACAAGATAAATGAAACTAACAAAAATGACAGTATCATATCATTAGTGCTCAGCAGAAAAGCCAAGTCCACAAACTTGCTTCTCAGAGCTCAAGCCAAATCAACCAAGTGGAATTCTGCCAATTTCAGTGCTCCCCACCATGTCCCTTGCCTCAAAGGTAAAGTCAGAGCTGGTGATGACAGAGGCCTGGAAAAACTCCTAGGGACACATTTCTTTCTTTAGGTCAGAAGCCCCTGTTGAAAATCGCCTCTCCATACTGCACTAGCTTTCTAATCTCATTCTTTATGTCAGCCATTTGTTTTTCATCGGATCACTTTCTTTGTATTAGGCTTCCTTTTCCAAAAGATGCTTGTCTTTCCTTTCTTCTCACAGGACAGGCCAAGTGGGAAGTCGGATGGCTGCGCGTCCGCCAAGGGCGAACTTGTAATGCAGGTACCTCAGTGAGCTCTGAGCCTGATTGCTGCTTCTAAGTTGTCCCAGGGCTGTGGTGGGGAGGACGGGGTTTGGGTTCGGTAGAAAAGCATCTCGGCATTTGCCTTCTCATTTGAACAGTTAAATCACCCAGCAGGGCATTTCTTTCTGGCCTCTGGAGTTGCCTTTGACAGACACACTGTCAGCAAGCGGTGAGAGGACAGGTTGGCCGATCCCATTGCTGGTCTTCTTGGGCTTTATCACTATTTTAGGAACAAGTTACATAAAACTTTAATTTGCAGATGTCCTAAATAATACCAAAGATGTGGCCTAAAAATAGACAATGGGTTTTCCAAGATTGCCAAGCTGTCTCCAGAACATGATCTGCCAGAATGAAGCTAACCAGATCCAAAAGTTCTGCTTAATCCTTAAATGTATACTTAAGAACTAATTTTTTCACTTGGGTTCACCCATGAACATTTTCTGTGCCTTCCACGGAGTTCCAAGGAATGCAAGGAAGGCAGTCTAGTGAGGAGGAGAGTACCGGGAAAGGAAACCGGAAACCAGCGCCACCTCCTCTGCCTCCAAGCCTTAAGTTTCCTCCGCCGAAAGGGGCACAGTCAACCCTGCCCTGCCCCTCCCAGAGGTGCTGTGAGATTCAATGAGAACACACAGATTCGTGTGTTTTCAGAAGTACAACAGACCAAGCATGATGGCTCATGCCTGTAATCCCAGCTCTTTGGGAGGCTGCGGCCAGCAGATTGCCTAAGGTCAGGGGTTCAAGACCAGCCAGGCCAACATGGCAAAACCCTGTCTCTACTAAAAATACAAAAATCAGCTGGGCATGCCTGGGGGGCACCTGTAATCCTAGGGAGGCTGAGGCAGGAGAATTGCTGGAATCTGGGAGGTGGAGGTTAGCCACTGTGCTCCAGCCTGGGCAACAGAGAAAGAAAGGAAAGAAAGAGAGAAGGAGAGGAGAGGAGAGGAGAGGGGAGGGGAGGGAGCGGGGATGGAAGGGGAAGGGAGGGGAGGGGGTAGTGAAACATAAGGCAGAATGAGGAGAGAACCTTAATACCTTAATATGTGAGAAAGCTCTAGACACCTAGAAGGGCAGAAAGGTGGGAAACACACACACACACACGCCCAACACCTCTATACCAGTTGTTTAGGGCAGTCAGCCTTCAGATTGTCCTCCATCTGATGGGGCAGAGCCCATGCTGTAGGGTTGGCTGTTAAATATGTTGAATATCATCTCCAGAGGTGAGGGAATTCCTCAGCCTCCAAGATGCTTCTGGGTGTCACATAGTCACCCTGGGCAGGTGAGACCATTTTTTAAAATCATCGGGAATGGTACTATCCTTTTCAAACAACATGGCACTGTGTTTGCTGGACTTTTAGCTTGAGATCTGGAAAAGCAGGCACTAGATATTGAATACAGAGCAGAGCTGCGTATCTGCATTGGTGTATCCTTCCACTGAGCCCAGAAATATTTGCTGAGCGCCCACTCTGTGTCTGGTGCTATAAGGTCCTTGGTAGTAGAGTTACACACACCCCACTCCGCTCCCAATGCATTTAAAATCCAGTTGATGTTTTGAGTCATTTACCTAAGAAAGTAAAAAAAAAAAACAACAACAACCAAAAAAAAATCAACAACAAAAGAAACTCCAGAAGATAGTACATGTTTCAACTGCAATCGTTTTAGTTGCAATGATCAAGGGAGACTTCATAGAGGAGGTGCCTCTTGATTTGAGCCCCAAGGATAAGAAGTCTTCTGTTGTTGGTTTTTCTGTTTTTTCGTGTGTGTGTGTGTGTGTGTGTGTGTGTGTGTGTTTCTTTTCTGAGATGGAGTCTTGCCCTGTCACCCAGGGTGGAGTGCAGTAGTGCAACCTCAGCTCGCTGCAACCTCAACCTCCCAGGTTCAAGCGATTCTCCTACCTCAGCCTCCTGAGTATCTGGAATTACAGGTGCCTGCCACCACACTCAGCTAAGTTTTGTATTTTTAGTAGAGATGGGGTTTCATCATGTTGGCCAGACTGGTTTCAAACTCCTGACCTCGTGATCCACCCACCTCGACCTCCCAAAGCGCTGGGATTACAAACGTGAGTGACCATGCCCAGCTAGTTGTTTTGTTTTTTTAAGAGTTTGCAAAGAAGGAAGTGGGCTTTTCAGGGCATAGAATGGAAGAAAAAACCAACATGAGTAGATGCATGGGTGGAAATGCAAGAGACATACGCTAGACATACCAGAGCAGCAAAAGCAGGACTTAGCTGTACCTGCAGCTGAGGGTTAGCAGGAATTAGGAGACAGCAGTAAAATAGGGCTAGACTGGAAAGGCCTTTGATGCCAGGTTAGGAGATTTACATTTTATCCACAAAATCCACTCCTTTAATAATGAGGTATCCTTAAAAGTTTTTGAGCAAGAGTGGCATGGTTGACCTGGTATCCTGGGAAGGAACTGTGTGATGATGGCATGCAGGTCTTACCTGGGGTGGGAAAGGCCCAAGCAGCATGGGGCAGTGGCAGCTGCCAGAGGTCAAGGGACATTTCACGGAAAGACATGGCAGGACAGGAGCTTCCTTGGATGGCTGGATGAATAACAGAAACAGGAGAAAGGCCGAGTTTTGTTGGGAGAGGAGATGGGTCAGGTTTGAAGCATGCGGAGCTTGTGCTGATAGTGAGACATCCAGTTGACAGGAACCACTGGACAGTGAGAAATGTGGGGCCAGGGTGCAGGGGGCAAACTGTGGCTGGAAATGAGCATTTGGAAGGGGCCAGGGTGGAAGCGGTGGTTCATGCCATGAGTGCTATTTCACTTACGTGTAAGATCAGACAGCCGTGCTTTCTAAGATTGTATGTCTCCCACAAAATGTAATCTTGTGCTGTAGGCACAAGACCACATCATTGTTAAATGATTCAAAGTTACAGCACCGTTGTCCCATCGCTGATCCTGACTGCAAACTCTCACTGTCATTAACACTACTGAAAGGCCATTCAAACTGGAGACACTTGGCTACTTAGCCCCTCAGGAAATTCAGCCAGTGGACAAACACTTTCCTCCCTGACCGCCTCTCCTTCTGCTTCTCGTCTGCCTGTCCGAAGCTGTCTTGGCTTCAGCTCTCATCTCACCCTCCTATTGGATGAAGCAGAGCTAATTTCTTTTTCTTTTACCTTTCAAGTATAAGATCATCCCCACCCCGGGTACCCACCCCCTGCTGGTCTTGGTGAACCCCAAGAGTGGAGGGAGACAAGGAGAAAGGTACGTTCTCTTCTTTTTCAAAGTGGAGCAGTCAGGGCAACGTGACTCGGGCACTTCCTCCCCTTGGCAATAACACGGCAGGCTGTGGAGACAAGCAGGCTCAAACCCCAGCACTGCCGCCTGCCACTTTATGACCTGGCCCATGTGACTTAATGTCCCTGGTCCTCGGTTTCCTCCTCTCTAAAATGGAGATAATTATCCTTCCTCCTCTCACAGGTGAGAATAGACATGGTGCTTAGCCCACTGCCTGCCATGTGAGCCATTATTAAGGGTTAGACCATGCTCTGAGATGCCTGTGCCTTCCTAGCCTCTCAGGCCTTATCTTAATTTAAGAGATGCAGGGATGGGAGGCACTGATTAGGACCTCCCAGGCTACTGCCACCCATGGGAACCCAGGGCAATCACCTCATTTGTTTGCTGAAATGCCCAGTTCAGTGGTGGCTAGAAATTGCTCAACAGAATGGGAGGACAGAGAGAATGGGTAAAGCGGCTCTACCTCCCAATTCCAGGATCATTAACAGATGGCACCGTGATCTGGAATCCAGGTTAAAAAAGACTAGTTAGCAGAGTTAAAGCAAGAACAAGGAAAACCCCCACCCCTGTCCATGGGGCAGGACACCCTCCTGAACTGACCTGACAATTACAAGCCAGAGCTGGGAAAGCAGGCCTGGGTGCGGCCACAGTCTCTCAGCCCTCCCCTGCCCAACGCCACCTCCTGCATTTCCTCCTGATCCCAGGACTGCAGGGGGCCTCTCCCTGGGGAGGCTAGGGAAGAGGGGGGTCCTGTGATGCTTTTGTACAGTCTGCAGAGGGCAGAATCACACTGCCAAGACCATACAGAACATTTGGGAGAAGGTCTCTGTGGAGGGTAAAGCTTTAGAATGAAAGTCCTGTTCTCTGGGTTTCTCTCCCCTGTCCTCTAAGGGGTGATGTCTCTGGGCTTAGGAGCCAGAGTCTAGGTTGGTAGCACAGCTCCAAACTGGGGGTGATAATGCGGGTGATGCCAGGTGGAGCCTGGATGCCAGGGTCAGCAGGCAGTGTTCTCCCCTCTGGGGTTTCACTGAGCCCTCTTCCCTGCCACTGGTAGGCTCCAGAGGTGTTTGCCCTAATGTGACTTCTCACGATGACATATTCCTTCTCTGTCTCTCTTTCTCCCTCCTTTTCTTTTTTTTCCCATAGAATTCTTCGGAAATTCCACTATCTGCTCAACCCCAAACAAGTTTTCAACCTGGACAATGGGGGGCCTACTCCAGGGTATGGAGATCACAATCTTCACCTCTTATTTCCTTCCTCCCTTTAATCTCTAATGAAGACTCCTCTTCACCTCTTATTTCCCCCCCTCCCTTTCAGTCTCCAATGAAGATGCCTTTTTGTTTGTTAGTTTGTTTTGTTTTGTGTTTTTGAGATGGAGTCTCGCTATGTCGCCCAGGCTGGGGTGCAATGGCACGATCTTGGCTCACAGCAACCTCTGCCTCCTGGGTTCAAGTGATTCTCCTGCCTCAGCCTTCCAAGTAGCTGGGACTACAGGCACCCACCACCAGAATGGCTAATTTTTGTATTTTTAGCAGAGACAGGGTTTCACCAGGTTGGTCAGGCTGGTCTCTGTCTCCTGATCTCAGGATCCGCCGGCCTTGGCCTCCCAAAGTGCTGGGATTACAGGCATGAGACACTGCACCCGGTCAAAGATGCCTCTTTTGTCACCTTTTTTATCTTTCATCTCTCAACATGTCCCTTCCTGCCATTTTACTCCCTTTCTCTGCTTTTTCTCCCATCCTACACTCACTCCTGGAGATACTCAGGATGCCCATGGAGGCTAACTCTGTGTGAGAAGTGGCTTCCTGTAGCTTGTCCCAGAAAAAGTTGTTGATTTTATAAGAGGGGAAAACGGCACACACCATTCATTTGATTGACAGGAGGAACAGGCTGGTAAATTATTTTAACTTATTTGCAAGGCTCTGTGAGCTGGCATCTTCATACTGAATCATCAGAGAAGAGAAAGAGTTTTCTTATCATTGTCAGTCAGCAGTTTGGAAATCTATACAGTGACTCAGAGTTCTGCCTTGGTGTTCCACCGTGGGAGCATTTTAGGATCGAGACAATTACTTGTCCAATGGAATCACTTTTGTTTTCTAAATCATTTGATTTTGAGGTTGTTTTGCTCATCCTGCCACTTACTCATTGGTTATTCTCTGCTGGTTACCATGGGGTTGAACAGAGTTGGTGGGAGGCCTGGTCCCTGTGTCTGCGGTGGCTAATGGCGAACTGCAGGTCCCTGGGATGCAGGCCCCTCCAGTACCTGGGCTAGAAGGCAGGGAAAGCCTAGGCCTCCTCCCAGTCCGGGCTGGGGCTCGAGAGCCCTCTGCTGGCCAGCCCCCGACCCGGGGCTGTCTGCATTCACTGGGCTGGCTTGTCCAGCACACAGCCACTTGGCCCAACCTCCTAACCAGAACTTCTACTCTGAGCTCAGCAAGACCCCTCAGAGAGGCTGGGGTAAGGACTCTGAAAAGGGAATCTGACCTGGTCTTTGACTGGCTAGCACCAAGCTATTATTTATGGTAGCGGTAGTACAAGGCCCAGTTAAAAAAGAGAACTCTAAGTGTTCAGTACCCCTGCCATGATTGACCTGTAAAACTAATTTCAGAACAGAGCCCATCTCTGGATACCACTGCAGCTGCCATCACGGTCACCAGGATTGCCGTCCCTGCCGTACAGCAGGGCCTTGTGACGGAGCAGCACCCCACAGACACCTTTACCGGCCCACTGTCCAAACATGCATACCGTCCTCCAGCTTACTCTCATGTATTCTAAATCGATTTTACCTGGGATGAAGTGCCAGGTGGCTACTTCCGGGGCTGACGTGCCCGAGTGTCTCTCACATGCATGTCACTCTGCAATCAGACAGGCTGCCAGCTGGAGGGAGCGAGTCTCTGTTCAGAATTCACTTCCTAAGACAGAGCAGAGTTCTGAAAGAGAAGTAGAAGAGAAAGAATGTTCATTTGCTTAATAAATATTTATAGAGCTCTCCACTTTAAATACACAAAATATTGATCGGCCATTATTAATACCCATTTTTAGAATAAAGCAATATTCCCATTCTGTCTCCCTCTTTTTCTTCCTCTTTCTTCCTCTCCTTCACTTCTTTTTTTTTCTTTCTTTCCTTTTCTCCTTTCAAAAAAAAAGAAAGAAGAAAGAATGTTCATTTGCCTACACATGCATTAGTGACTCTGAAAACTCCAGGGCTCTTCCCAGACTGCCAGGCTGGGCAGATTGGAAATACTGACCTTCAGCTTCCCAAGTCCCACCCCCAGGGTGTCCGCAGGTCACATTCGTCCTAAAGCAGAGGTTCTTTTTTGTGTCAGGAACCCCCTTGGCAGTCTGGTAAAGCATATAAACCCCCTCTTGGAATATTTCTTAATGCATAAAATGAAATAATAAAAGGTGACCAGGGAAACCGTATCCAAAAAATAGTTATTAAAACAGTAAAACAAATTAGTGATATGAGAATATCACTCAATATATGAGCTTCACCAACACATTAAACAGAAAGACCCAGAAGTGGGTCTGATAACTACCGCAAATTCCGAGCAGTGATAAGCCTGACGCTACTATGAGACATTTGCCATAACCGTAATGACACACTAACACGCCTGTGTTTTCACTGCTGACAAAGTCGTGGGTATCGTTCATACCTCTGTGGTTTGTTGCCTCCATTCTGAATTGAAGAAAACACTACTTATTTCAGTTTGAGCTTAGGGAAAACAAGAACGTAATATTTTCTCCTCCAAGTTCATGGCCCTCTGAATCCAATCCACAGAACCCTTGGAGGTTGATGGTCCCCAGGGTAAGTGCCCTGCTCTCCAGGGTTAAGGCTCCTGAGAAGAGAAGGGCATCACTCCACTCACTGTGGCCACAGGAGAGTGAAGTGAAGATTCAGCAAATTCGGTGCATCTCGCTTACCAGGGCGGTGTCAGGAGAGCCCGAGGGGAGTGAGAACATCAGGGGGTATTTGTATTGACACCAAAATACAGACTCTGAACTCCTCTGCATAACGAGTAGTGAATTTCTAGAACACCATTTTCCATTTGTGTCGAATGTTGGGTCAGATTCTCCTTGCACAAGGATGGCCCCTGGGCCTTTGCTGCAAATTCAAGGCCCGGTATAGTAACCTCTGGTTTCAGAACCTTGAGTGGCCCTTTCAACCCCAGAAGGAATTGAGGTCTTAGCATACTCCTGGGGAACAGAGGAGACTCTGACTCAACATGTATCGATGTCAGCCGCAACTGTGTAACAAGCCCATTTCAGCCTTTCTTCTTCTTTCCAGGTTGAACTTTTTCCGTGATGCTCCAGACTTCCGTGTTCTGGCCTGTGGCGGAGATGGGACAGTCGGCTGGATTTTGGATTGCATTGGTAAGCACGGGCCAAGCGGGCCTTTGCTGCTTATTTATAGTGAGCATATTTACAATCAGCAGAAGGTAATAAGAAAGAAAGAGACATGGAGCCATGTCTGTTCATCCTTGTATCTTCCCTTGGACTAACACTTGACTAAATATTTGCTCTGGGTGGAAATAAATAAATAAATAAATAAAACAATGGAATGATGCCACAGATGCAGAGATAACAGTTTCGATTCAGGTCTTGCTTCTAAAGCAGATCTGTCATGGCTAGGGGTTTGGGCAGTGACAGGACAGGCCGGATTTGGGGAGTGGGAGGACAGCAGCGGAATTCTAGGCAGATCCTTTGGGGTGGGTAAAGGGCAGAGAACTAAGCATAGATCATAGCCTGGGACAGATCACCTTGAGATAAACACCTGGAGCCTGAGTCCAGAAAACGCATCTGCAAAGTACAGGTCAGTGCAAGCAAAGAAGGACCACACTGAGCTGTGTCCAGGACAGACCAGCTGGATGAAAAGGCTCAGACTGGAAGGCTGCCAGCCTCAGTTCCACCTAGCTCTACCTGGGTCTATAGGTCCTTGGGACACATCAGCCCTAGTAAGTGATGGCAACTGACTCTGAAATTCTGGGATGGAAGTAGAGTCAAGATCTAACCCTAGAGAACCCAGACAAAAAAACACTGCAAAATGTAATATAAGGACAAGAAAACAGCCAGGGGGAGCACCTGGGAGGATGGTCATCCAAGTCAGAGACTGGCCCTGAACGACAAGCCCTGGGCTCTCCGTTCTTCATTCCGCAAGTGCTGCCTGTGCACTGCAATGCGTCAAGGTGTCCCCAGGGCACTCGAGATACAGCTGTGAACGAGCAGACAAAAATTCCACTTTCATGGAGCTTACCATCTAAAGGAAAGAGACAGGCAATGAACAATTAAATGAGTGAGACATAGTATGTCAGTAGGTGTTTAAAACGCAGCAGGGAAGGGGCAAAGGGAGCACAAGGCTGCAATCTAACTCTTCACAGAGAAGTCAACATTTGCATGGAGATCTGGAGGAGGGGTGAGCCACGTGGATGCCTGAGGAAGGACAGTCCAGGCAGAAGCAACCGCAAAGGCAAAGACGGTGCAGTGGGAGCAGGCCAGGCTGCTGGAGGCAGGACAGAGCAGAGTGGATGTGAGAAAAGCTAGAGGATGAAGCAGAGGTGATGAGGGGACAGGTGATTAGGGCACACAGGGCATTATATGGACTATGGCTTTTAGACTGGGAGGGTCCCAGGATATTGGGTGGTTTTGAGCAAAGGAGGAACATGACAGATAAGGGAAGAGGGAGGAAGAGATCAGTTAGGAGGCCACTGCAGCAATCCAAGGGTGACCAGGGCTTGGACCGCAGCAGAAGCAGAGGGGTGGTGGGAAGTGGACAGCTTCTGGATATCTTTAGAAGGTGAAGGCAATAAGCTTTGCTGACAGACCGGATGTGGGAGATGAGAGGAAGAAGAGCATCAAGGATAGGCCAGGACCGGACCGGGACTGGGGCAGAGAAGGCTGTGCCCCCCGGAGGATGTAGTAGAGCACCTAGCCTGAGCACCTAGGCTGAGAAGGCTGCAGGACTGCACCTGCCGCCCGCCGCCCGCCGCCCGCCGCTCCCCCAGGCGCTTCGGTTGCCATGGACACAGCCCTGCCAAGCAGCCACCCACGCTCTCCTGTTACCTTGGGCTCTGGAGTTGTTTGTGGGAGGAGGGAGGAGTCCTCTGGGAGCCAAGGAAGGAAAGACTGATCCTCAAAGGAAGGATGGCTGCGGCACTGGGCTAGTCACACAGCTCCATCTCCACCATGAGGGAGAAAGTAGGCTTTGGCGGAGAGCCTCACGCAGGTCATCCGCGGAGGACACACGAAGAAGCTGCTCAAAACAGAAATAAGGAAGATCACAGAAGGAGGAAGAAACATGAGGGTTTTTTTTCTACAAGCCCAAAGAGAAAAAAAGCGGAAGTAAAAGGGATAACTGTGTAAGATATTCATCTATTCACTCTCATTTAAGCACTTGTTCCGTGCTCTCCAGTGCCCCGCCGTGGTCCCCTCTCTGATCTGTTCTCTCTCTACAGCCGGAGCCATCTTTCCTGGACGTCATTGGGTGTCTGACAGGCATAAAGCACACCAGTGGCTTTCCTTGTTCTTAGGATAGAAACAAAACCCTTGAAAGGGTGGTCCAGCTGCAGCGCAGCCTTCCAGCCTTATTTCTACCTCCATCTCTCTACATCTGGACTCAGGCCCCAGCCCATCTCTCAGACTCCTGGCTGTTCCAGTCTCCCTCTCACCTCAGGGCCTTCATACAAGTCAACCCCGCTGTCTGCAATGCTGCGCCAACCTTGGCTCAGCCAGCTTCCACTCCAGATCTCAGCTGACACGTGGCCTCCTCTGACACACCCACCAGCCTCAGGCACCTTATAGCACAGTGCCCCTCTGTTTTCCAACGTGAATGTGAAATGATGCATTCTCTCCACGGATTCCTCATTGATATCTGTCTATCCCAGCAGACAGTAGGTTAGCACCATGAGGACCCGAGCCATGGCTTTTCCGCCCACTCCCAGCTGCAGCATCTAACACTGCATCTGCATATCGCGAGCTTCGGTCAATATGTGTGAAGATGCTGTGAGAAGGAGACCCAGTCCCACTTGGGGAGGTGTCAATACATTCAGGGAACAAACGAGGAGACAATGACAAGAGAGTACAATGAGATCATTTCTGGTGCTAAGGAAATATTCTGATGAGGCACCAGGTCCAGACTGGGGCCACTAGGGAGAGCCTCCCAAAGGCAGCTTCCAAGCTGAGCAACAGAGAGCTTTGTGCTTTAAGGAAGTGAAAACACTTGAGAATGGCTGACATGTTGCGTGGGAGGCAGGATATGCAGAAGGCTGAGGCTCGGAAGAACAGCAGAGCCTGGTTCCTGGGCCTACTGCAGAATGCTGTGGGGCCACGGGGAGCCACACAGCCCCACCCAGAAGTGAAAGCGGTGGGTAATGCGAGGGGCCGTGGTTCATGGACTGCCCTTCTGGGTGAAAGCGTGGGCAATACACCCACAGCGTGGGTGGAACCGGAGGTGAAGAGAGGAGGCTGTTGCAGCAGTGCCAGTGGGAAGGATCATACCTGCACTCAGGCATCACCATGGGGACAGAGGAAGAGAATGCTAAGGAGACAGCACATAGAAAGTGATGGGTGTGGATGGATGGGTGAGGGAAAAGGAAAAACCCAAGCCGGCATACACGTTTCTGGCCTCGACACCATAAAGACAGTTGACCTGCTGAGGCGGACACGGAGGAGTAAGGGGCAGACACAGGAATCAAGAGGCTTCTAGGCAAAGGGAGCGGCCCGTGCAAAGGCAGGGAGGCAGTGCTCTGATCACGTGTTCTGAGGACAATGAGAGAAGCCATTGCATTGCCACACTCTCCATCCCAAACCTTCCAGTGGTCATCTCAGTCCTGGGTCTTCCCCGCGATCAGCCATTTCTGCTACAGGTCAAACCACCTAGAGAACCTATGAATTCCCAGTTTGCCAGGGCAGCCCTAGCTTGAGCCTCACCTGCTGATTCCTGCATCTCTCCCCATCCTGAAATCACATTGTTCACATCCAGGGGCACCGTGCACACTGAGGTCTCATACTCCCCCGCCCCCAAGACTGATGGATGCCTGTGCCCTCTTCAGCTCTCCCAGCCTAGACAATACACCACTGTAGATCTGTTGTGCTTTCTCTGATGGTTCTGTCTGATGTCCTTCACAACCAACGAAAGAGAAAAGATTAGGAATCTGTGTCTGCAATTCTGAGAGGTGGTGGAAGTGACACACTGGTTGTGGTGGCCAAATAATACCTGGACGTTTGCTTGTTTAACTCATATTAGTTTTTAAACTTTTAAACTCGCATGGTGAAAAGTTGAAGGTGAGCATCTTCAACTTGTCAGATGTCCCACTATTACCCAGTGTCCCAGCCCCACCTGTTTTACTCATCTGTGTCCCTGCCTAGCCCCTGAAGAGGGGAAGAGGAAGAACTTGGAGCCGCAGAGATTTGGGTTTGGATCCTGGTTCTGGAATTACTTTCCCTCTCTCCCATTCAGGCTCCTGAAATCAGATGAGCTTGAGCGCGCTCACGGTAGAATGGCTGTAGACCACTTTCCCTTTCTCAATCTGTTTCTTCAGCTACCTGAAGGAAGATAATACCTTGCAACATAGGCTGAGGGATAAATGGAATAAATGATGATTATCACTAAGGATTAAAAACATGCAACTTAATGTGTTGGGGTGTATGCTGCTACCCCAAAGGACAGATTTAGGATGAAATTTGAATGAACATGTGCAAGTTGCAGGATACAGATTTAGCTCAATATAAAATACAAATGGACAGATTTAACTCAATTAGTGGTGGTTAGCACGCTGCAGATGGGATAGATGGCTTTAGGAAGTAGTGTGTTTCCCATCGGGTGGTATCCAAACAAAGAATGCCACGGAGGGGTTCAAGCATCAGATCAGGGATAAAAAGACAACGCGAACACCCTGCAGACCCATGGCATATGGTTGTTCTCTGTTCCTGTGTGTCTTGCAGATAAGGCCAACTTTGCAAAGCATCCACCAGTGGCTGTCCTGCCTCTTGGAACAGGAAATGACCTTGCCCGCTGTCTCCGCTGGGGAGGAGGTGAGTCTGCATGCTAGTGCTGCTACCCCGGGGAACGAGTGTTCCAGTCTGCAGAGGTGCTCTGCGGAGCTAGGCTGAACTTACCCCTTCATGGATCATATTTCGCAGTGTAATACTCAACTCTGCAGTCAGGCCAAGTCCATGACCCTTTCTCTGCCCTCCATCCCCTGCTGAATCTGGAATAGAAGCTCTGGGAGCATTTTACTCCCTCGCCCCCGTGTTTACTATCATCCTGAAACCATCCCCTCAGAGTCTGCTTTCCCAAGTAGAAAGCAGTCAACTCCAGGGTAAAGACAAGGTCTCAGGTGTCCCATCCCCAAAGTCCCATCCAAGAAGGCGCTCACGTAGATGTTTTCTGTATGGAATTCCCTCTCCCACAAATTGCTGATCTTCTGAATTAGGACTCAAACTGAGGACCGAAATGCTACATCTCCATTTACTTAAAGTCACTAGAAGCATGCAGATTATCCTAAGCCCCATGGCCATGGGTACTCATTTTGAAATTTCCCTAAGAGGAAACACAGAGTGGTAACCAGTTTATAAGGTCGGGGGCAGAAACTTTGCAAACTGGAGTAGCCCTGTGGAGTTGCACTTGCGCCAGAAAGTGGAGATGTTCAGCTCAACACGTGGAGCAGACAGATCAGGCTGCCGGCCAGAAAAGGGGCGGGGACTCCAGATGGCTGATAATTCAGAGACTGAGTCAAGACCAGGCAGGGCAACGGTCAGTGTTCAATGATCAGCCATGCTTGGTGGGCAGTGTCAGAGCAAGCAGCACCCAGCCCTAGAGGCCATCTTAAAATTCTGCCTGCCACACTGTCCATCTCCCACATGACACAGCTGGGAAGGATCTGCTGTTCTCCCATAAGGAGAGTCCCAGCCATCCAGCCCACCGCTTCTCCAGGGTTTGCTTCAGCTACACAGGCCTGCCACCTTTAGCCCTCTCCCACCCCCAGCCTCTGATTACTCCTGGTTGTCCTCCCCTTCTCTGTGGCCCAGGGAACATAAATGTCTCCAGCCCACAGACACAGTGGGGTGTCCCCTCATCACAGATGCCCTGGGTCCACCTGCCCTGACAATTACCTGTGCATTAGCAAGAACACTGCCTTTCTGCTGTGGTAGCAAATGCAGTGCTGTCCTCCACAGGTTATGAAGGGGGCAGCTTGACAAAAATCCTCAAGGACATTGAGCAAAGCCCCTTGGTGATGCTGGACCGCTGGCATCTGGAAGTCATCCCCAGAGAGGAAGTGGAAAACGGGGACCAGGTCCCATACAGCATCATGAACAACTATTTCTCCATTGGTGTGGTGAGTTGGTCAAGCATCACCTTGCTACATGGAAGAGAAATGCCCAGGAAAGGTTTCAGTCTTCTGTTTTACCCCACCCTGGGTCCCTACTGTCTACCTGTCTTACCTGCCCCCCAGCCCTGACTTGGGTCCCAGCATCCTCAGACTTGGCCTGAGTATGGACGCCCTGATTTCACTGCCCTCTATTCCCCACCTCTTGGTTAGGGAGGAAATTGTCTACTCCATCATTTTAACTAACACAGGAAAAGACTGAACAATTTTCAAAAGACATATTTACCCTTTCTGTAATTTGTAGCAGCCATAGAAAAGCAACAGCAAGAAATAACCAGGGGACAAGGTTGGTAGGAAACTCTCACACAAGCTGCAGGAACTGGGAATTCCAATCCTCAAAGAAGGGCCATGTGGTCCCAAGCTGCCTCAGCTGGCTTAGCACTCTGATTTCCTTCTCTCCTATGCTCTCTTCCCCTCTCAACCCCATTTCACTCACTCCTCATGCTTCATAAAACTCTGGGGGTGTCTCCTCCCAGCTGACCCCTTAGGCTGAATGCCATGAGCCTCCCTGATGGTCCCACAGCCCCTATGCTCACCCCATTCATGCACATTCTGCATTAGATTGAAGGAATTGGTTTAATGAACTTATCTCGTGCCCTACCCCCATGCCCACACACACACTCCTGCAGTGCAAGGGCAGCACTCTGTTCCTTTTTCACCCACTAGCCCCAACACATCTAGTGTAGCTCAGCTTCTGGTCCAAAGAGGATTAGGGTGGGTACTGCTTCCCAGGCTGCTGTGAACAGGATGGGAATGAGGGGGGAGATCAATCATTTCTATAAATGAAGCTGAGGTTTGGGAGGGGGTGGGGTGCAACAAAGAGACTAGTATTTACTTTTTTTAAGAATGACAGAATTGGCTGAGTGCGGTGGCTCACACCTGTAATCCCAACATTTTGGGAGGCCAATGCAGGCAGATCGCCTGAGGTTAGCAGTTTGAGACTAGCC